CAGCAATGTATAGATAATAATGGCAACTATTTTGATTAAATAAATTTGTTAAAAATTTAAAAAATAAACAATTTAGATTTTCAGTACAAATCGGCAATTTCATACTTTAACCCCTATTATAAATGGTGCTTGGCCAATCACGGATATTTCTATTTCTTGGATTTTTTTTTGTTTTGTAGCGTTTATTTCGCTTCCGTTTGAGATTGTTGTCGTGGATTGTTAACAAATAATCTTTAAATCAGTAGGTACCACGTAAGTTGTTGTAAGTCAAAATACCATTTTTGCTTAGTAACTTGAATATATCGTTTTTATATTATGTATATTATAAGTTGCGTTGAGCAATGTAACAATCCAAGGAACTATACAGAACAACCAGGTTAGAACCAATTTAGAAAAGTTCATTTTCCAAATTTGTCCTATTGGTGCTCGAAACCGGGACTTCGCCATCGCTGAGATTACCAATCAATCAATCACTGTTAATGCTGTTTGCATTTAATTATTGTTTTCAATTAAGAGCATGTCATATACAGGGCGGAAAAATCAATGCGACATGAAGGGGAATTGCCTGCAAGTACTTAAGATAGCTAATTTGACTTAAAGCAAACATTCTTTTATTTTTCTTAATATGAATAATTGCATTCACACATTTTTTGAAAAGCTTGCCTGAGCCGGGAATCGAAACGACTAAAAATGCGAAAATTAAACAATTGCACTTTTTTATTTTTCATGATGAAATAGACATTAGGTCTCACAATTAAAGACTTCTATGAAATTTAACATTTATCTAATATTACTATCGACTCGTAACACGAAGAACACGTAGGTATTAACCACTTAATATGCATATAACTTTGTTATCGATGCACATAATAACAGTTTGTACCTCAACCCTTAACTCTTCTACGGTGCCATACGCCTATTTGTGATTTTTTCTATATGGCACATAAAGAAATCCAAGGCGTTTAAAAAAAATTATAACGTATTTTTGACTTGTTAAAAATAAACAGCCTACGACAAAACGGACGTGCTGCCGCCGCGCCGCGTAAGTCGCCGAGAGGCACCCCAACAGCAGCACCTTTGAGATTTTTTTACTGGCCGGTCAATTGAGACAAGCCCCCTGGTTCAAGTCGATCGGGCGACTGCTTGGGATAACCCGTGGGGTGACTAGCCTGTCCGGCGCGCACTCCGACTCGCCAGAATTTTTGCTAACAACCAACAAAAGCCCATCTTAGAAAGTATTGATCGTTGCCCAGGGTGCACCGGCCCAGAATACTGCTCTTCCTTCCGGATAAACCGTATCAAACAAGAATAGCAGCAATCGAGCACACGTGGAGGCAAACTGCCTTGCACCCCTTGTCCATCATCCTTGTTTTTTTAACGTCGGCAAGTCCTCATGGATTCCCTCCGTCTGGTGGAGGCAGTTACATTGAATTCATGGCCAACAATGCAGCTATGTAGCTTGGCATCCTTCCCAAGGTGAGGCGATACTTCACACTGGGACAGTTGCTTCAACTGTACCAAGCAAGTCCAGTCATGTATGGAGTACTGCTGCCACCTATAGATAAACCTAGATAGTTCTGCTAAATACCAACTGGCCACACTAGATTCAATAGAAAAGCGTGCCGAGAGGCTTGTAGGTGACTCGGATTTAGTAGAGGCGTAGCTGCAGAGCCTTGAACTCTACCGTAAAGTTGCCTGCTTGTCAGTTATTATTATTATTTTCTCATCTCGGTTCCACCGGTAACGAAGGACTGTCTCATCTAAAACTGTCGCACAAGGCCCCAATTTATGGGAGCTGGAGGAGGAGGTCATTGCGCAACCTACTGCGCTTCCTTCGCCTGCTTCGGATTGAGACCGAGGTAGATATCTCCCTCTCACGTTCCGAAGTCCCAGTCAACGTTGTTCACCTTTAGAAATTCATTTGTCTGTCGGGCCGTGTGAGAACTAACATTATCGTGGTGTAAGATGATACGGCGTTTACGGTTATTTTTACGGAGTTTGTCAATATCTTCCGGCAAACAAATGGTCGTGTACCAATCGCTATTCACGGTACAACGATTCTCCAAAGCAACAATAGCCACGTCTCCAGTTTTATTACAAAAAGAAATAATCATCCGCTAGAGGCACTTTGCACGCGCGCCACTTTGGTTGGTTTCGGCTTATCTCAAAAGACCCATACGCTCGATTGCTGCTTTGTTTTGAGATCGTAACTATAAATCCATGTTTCGTCACCTGTTACTATGTTCCACACCAAATTTGACGCCCCTTCGTTGAATCTAAAGTAAGCATAGCATTGCACCAAGTGACGAGATCCGTTTTTTGAGCCTCAGTCAAATTGTGTGTGGATCCATCGAGAAACAGATTTTTCACACCCAAATGTTTATAGTAATAATAATAATGTGTGTGCGTTACACACTCAACATAGCCCCGCACTAGGGAAACCCTGTGTCGCGGGTGCCATGGACACCTATGTGTCCATGGCATCCACAACCACATACACACACGTTTGTGTGGTATTGATTGCATTTGACTCATGCTTATGCTAAAAGATGCCCGAATCTCATGGTATGCCACATGCCTGTCTGTTTTGATCATACGGCGCACAGCATCGATGTTTTTGTTGTTGCAGTGGACGGGCGACATCACGAAATTCGTGACACGACCGTGTTTGAATTCTGCAAACCTGCTGTAAATAGTCGTCTTGCATGGTGCTTCATCGCAAAAAGCAATTTAAAGCCGAGCGAAGCTCCGCTGAGATGTTCACTTAAAGTCGTAGAAAACCATACTACGAAAATTTCGCGAGTTAAATCCATGGTAATGTAAACAACCAATTCCTAAAATGACGGCACAATGCAAAAGCAAGTGACAGTACGATGAAACAAACTGTATTCTTCAGCCAAAGACTTCCATTTTCAAATATTCTAATTACTTTTTAAATATTGTTTATGTAAGTGGCCAGTTCCGGAAATTTATAGTGCGCCCTATGTATTCATTGAGGCTGATGACCTATATAGACTCTGTGAGGTAATTCTTAACTTCTCATCGCGTTTCGAATTTACCGCAATTCCCTACTACTATTACATCGAGGCTGTATGATCAAACTTTTGCTTACCCAGATAAACGGGTGAAAATTTATTTAAAAAAAAATGAGTTTGTTGTCATGGATTGTCATTGACCTACCAAATAAATGGACATCGGTTTCGCGCTTAAAAGTGTCCGCATGTATAGGGCGTTAAAATCACATACAGAGCGTCAATCGCGCAACAGTCTTCGTTTGTTCGACTGTCAGCGCGGTTGTCAATCATGCAGTACCATATAATAATAACTTGTAAAAATTACTGCAGTAAAGTGTAAAAACAGGATTTTGTATCATAATATATTTTCACTAAACAAATATATTATCATAGTTCTCATTTAAAAATGTTATTTTGTACAGTCTTATAGTATTTAATTTATATATAAATGAATCGTAAATATAAATTACAAAAGCACACAAAATAATCAAATAGGTAACTGCCCTTTTTCTACACATTGCATGCGCAAAAGATGGAAAGAGACCCACTGTGTCAATTTCAAGAAGCTTTAATAAACTTCTTGGTCATTTTCAATTGTTCGAACCACAAGCGATTGAAATATTTAGAACAAAGAAACTATAGAGTCGCTTTAATTTTAATCTTATTTTTAAAATGATTTTTAATTAAACGTTAGCAATAAACTAACAAAATATTGTTGTACTTGTTTTACGGCTTGGGATTACCTATTAGAAGTCAGAAAATACATTTGCCCGAAATAACGTTAGCTCGACTTTTCATAATGTCAAATGAATTTTTTTACAAAGATTACAAATTAAAAACTAATTTTGTCTTTGTGAAAAGCATTAAAATTACACGAAAGCGTAACGGTTTTGTTATAAATCGGTTTTCGAAATTACGGATATTTGAGTTTACGTTTAGTTGGAATATCGGTACATTTCTTATAGTACACGCTTATTTTCACATTTGTAGTAATATTTGTATGTATGTATCTGCCCAACTCTTTATTATTTCTTTAAGTGAATTTGTACAAAATTCGACATAATAAAATATATAAAAATTAATTAATATTTACGATAAAAGCTACTCCATTACTTTTATTATTTTTTAATTTTCTTTAATATTATTAAGTTTCAGTCGAAGCTAAATATGATGCATTTTGTTAAATTTCCAGTAGAAGCTGAATATGGTGTTTTTGGGCCCTTAAATTGTTTCAAGCACAATTAGGCAGTACTACAATGACGGTACAATTTAAATTAAATTTTTTAGTATTTTATATTTCGTTACATGTCACTACAAATAAGACGTAAGTAAGACGTAATAAACGTACGTAAACGTAGGTTAACTTCGGACTTTTTTTTCGTGGTTTTTGTATTAGACCCGATGTCCATTTGTTGGTAGGTCAATGTGGATTGTTAACAAAATATTGTGTATTTATTTTATTGACTCGTAGAAAAAGTATTGTATTACATAATTAGGTGTTACAATCTCGTACCTATTACTTAGGTTTATTATTAAACACGGTACTCGGCTTGAACCCTAATTATGTAACGATAGCATAATACGTAAACTTTTAAATTTATCCAATAAATATTTGTATTTTTGCAATAACTACGTATTCATGTAAACCTAACAAAATGGTAGCTCTACATTTAAAATATTTTAAGGCGTAAATAATAATTTAAATATTTGGCAATTGTAAATTGCGCGAGATACTCAGTGGTAAAGTTGTTTATGAGGTGAAGGTAATATTCTTCTCAAAATCGTAAATGCGAACTACGATTTTGAGAAAACCTCAGTATAACGTTTTGGAAGCCGAGCTGCGGCCAGACCTCATTTCAAACTCATCTCGTCTGATGAATGCCGACATGGAACTTTTTAACTACCATCTTCTCAAGTGCCTTATCTCAGTTCCCTTTTTCAGATCGTGTTCCGCTTTCATATTATTTTCACTGAATGCTTTTTCTGGTTTACTGTGGAGCTATTTCTATAGAGAAACCTCAAAGGGTTTAGTTACCATTTAATTATAAATGTATAACATGGAAACAGGTCTGTATTTAAACATAAAATACGCACGTAATATAATATAAATTATGTAATAAATTAAATAAATAAATTATATAATGAGAGTATAATAGTGCTCCCTAAATTTTGATGTTTTTGGGTATCATCAATTCCTTAATGAGTGACGTTTTAAAGGAAGTTTTTAATTTTGGTAACACTCGTCTTTTATGTTTCACTCATACGCAAGAGCATGTATGCATGAGATACGCTAGAGCATGAACTCATGAGTGCAGTAGTTACATAAATTTAATTGATTTCACGCTTTGAGTATTGAAATAACTACAGATAAGGCTGAAATATCGCGATTTTATTTTGCAGGTTACAATAAAATTACCATTACCTTAATATATCATATAAACATGAGCTGTATCATAAAGAAAACTACTTGAAAATTTTTAAAAGATATTATCAATTTGATTTATAAATAAATATATTGTCTAATTTTAATTAATCACCATCCCTCCACAAAGTTTCTCCCTAATTTGTCAAATGCAATTTTAATAACCTTCCAACAATTAATGATCGCCAGCAGAAAATCTGCTAGCTTTTCGGCATACACATTAATGTAATTTCCAGCAAAAGTGAATAAAGAGTGCTCCTGTGACCCAGTTTCCGGGATTCACCTGAGATGCGTTGTGACGTCACGGGCTGACGTCACTACTGACACAGTGCCCTATTTACAGTGGGCGGAGGGGGCCCCATTCAGCTTTAATCCTAGTTTGTTGAGCTCTATTTTTAGATCACTACCTTCATTCAACGATGGTTGTATGCAAGCTCTAAGAGAAGTTACAATGCCATTTACTATAAAATGGTTCTTTGTCGTAACCACAGACGTATATCTAGATAGACGCCGCAAGTCACTACTTATAAAAAATCTAGCCCAATTACGCTTCAAAATTGTTGAAGCAGCAGAAGAAATTAGTTTGAGAAGATTCGCACGATTGATGAAAATATCTTTTGTGAGGCGATGCAGAGCCTGTATTCGTGCCGAAGGCAAACAATTTGAGCATTTGCTTTAACGTTAAAGTATTACAATAGTTCCTTTCGTTTCATTTTGATTAAAATTTATTATAATACAACAATCGACTAATTATTAAGTTGACACACTCACATGTGTTAGGGTAGATTATTTTGTTTAATGCGTTGTCACTATCCATCTCACTCTATCACATAATGACCATCTCACTTCCGCGATGTTAAAGCCAATCTTTGAGCACACAAAAGTATTATTTATAATGACATGAGTTTTTTTTGAAACGAGCTCCTTTTGCAAAAAATAAGTTATAATATTTTTTATGGAATGAAGAGTGGCAAGTATTGTACCATTTTGAAATCTTGATTATATGGGCCATCTTTTAAAATAACTTGCCCAGGGTAGTGTAGTACATTTTTTTTTAAATATGAAGTGTCAAAGCTAGCTCACATATTTTTTTAAGCTACGACTCAATGAAACTTATTTTTTTTACTAAACTCATAACGTTTATTGTTTGTTTTGTGACTGCAATAAATAATAACATGGTTATTTATGATGACGTTAAAAAAAAATCGCTCCAAAATTTGAAAATTTGTGATGACAGTACCTAAACATGTGGTCCAGGGTATCGATTTTCAACATTTTCAAAAAAATGCCTATTATCACTTAACTAAGTGACATGGATTTTTTTTTAATTTTTACCAGAACTGATATAACCTGGCCTCTCGCCCAGTGACCGCTTGACGTTGAGTTTTGGGACACCCTGTATATATAATATTATATAATGTATGTATAACAGTGTATAATATTATATAATGTGTAATTTTATATATATATATATATATATATATATATAAACAGGATGAATTTTTAGTCATCGTCCAAACTTTCATATTATGATCTTTAGTGAAAATATAACATGCGCAAATTAAATGCCATCGCAAAATTGTTTTAAAAAATTGCGCGCGTGTGGACAGCCTACTCGATATGCGCGCTAGGCCACCTCCCGCGTCATTAATAAAATACACACATCAAAAAAAGTTTGCGATCACTTCGAAAAACTGAAATCTTTTTTGTTACTGTAGATTATATTATGATTTTTTCTTCTTTTTAGATTCTTTATTTAAAAATAAATTATAACATAAAACAATGACCCCGTTCAATTGTTTTTTCATATAAAAAGGCTTTCAGTCCTAGCTTACGCTCATTCAGAAATCTGATTTAGTCAATTATAAGCGATTCAAGATATTTTTCGCGGAAAGTTGTGATTGAAAAAATGCCAAGAGGTTTTACGAGCTAGAATAGTAACTTTGAGGGAAGAAGGATACACCACGAGAGTAATAGCACGCAGACTTGCTATATCCCAATCCTGTGTCGTGGCTACGTTGCAGAGGTATCACGGAATGGGGAATTTAGCTGACCGACCCCGCAGCGGTCGCCCAACTGTTTTGACAGCTGCCCAAAAGCGCTATATTAGATTGCTGGCAGCCCGTGATCCAACAATCAACGCCACTAAAATAAAAGCAGAAGTCAGGGCCGCCTCTGGGCTTGAAGTTAGCACGCAGACCGTTCGCAATTGCTTGCACCAGGCTGGATTACGAGCACGGAGGTCTTGGCGAGCTCCGCTCAATTCCCGGCAACGTCAACAACGAAGATTGCAGTGGGCTAGACTTCGGCAAAATGAAGAAGGTGAGGACGAAAACATTTGGCAAAACTGTCTCTTCGTTGACGAATCCCGAATCAGCACTCATCCAGATAACCGACGTGTCCGTGTCTGGAGAAGACCAGGCGACCGTGAAAGACAAAGAACTGCCACTGGAACAGTTCAGCAAGGCGGAAAATCGGTGTCCTTTTGGGGTGGCATTATGATTGGAGCTAGAACGCCTTTGATCCCGTATCGGGGCTTCATGACAGCAGACATGTACAAAGCAGTTGCTATTGATGATATCGTCAGACCATTCCGAGTAAACCATGGGCACCAATTTGTACTGGTCGATGATAATGCGCCCGCACATCGAGCTCAACGAGTCAATGCTGCTCTTCAAGAATACGATATCACACGATTAGACTGGCCTGCCGGCTCGCCCGACTTAAACCCAATAGAGCACGCGTGGGATGCTCTTAAACGAGCAGTATGGAACCGTGAGCCACGTCCCCAGACAGTTCCAGAGCTCAGGGAAGCCGCTATTGAAGAATGGGATAGGTTACCCCAGGAAATGCTGGATAACTTGATCCTCAGCATGCCCAGGAGGATCTTCGCATGTATTCGAGCCAGGGGAGGAGTTATTTTATATTGAATTCACACCTTTTAATAATAAATTGTTGTTTAAGTTTAATTAAACAGTCTTTTTCTTTCTATGAAATTTCTATCACTATTACATTATGATTAATGGCTCAATTTTTTAAAATAAATAATTTTATATTTTAATTTCAAACAGGGTATTCCTATTTAAAGAAAGCATACAACATAGATTTTTTCTTGATAAAGTTAAATTTAAAGAATTATAGGAGCTTATGCTATTGATCGCAAACTTTTTTTGATGTGTGTACATAAGTTGCAAATTTTCCCTTCATACTTTCACGGGCTTAGGACCGTCAAGTTACAAAAGGCTTTTGTGATGTTATTTTAGAATGTAGACAATTCATTCGAATTCAAGTCAAGATTTTGTTACATTAACGCACGAAAACGAGAGCGGAAGTTATTTATAAGTAAATTGTTTTAGAGGTTTGACAAAATTTAAAGATATTATTACAAAATAATGATAAAAATAATGCACCTGATAAACACACCTAATTAGGAAAGTTCGAACCCGAACTTAACTTCTACGCATTTAAAGCGTTGTGTTACCGAAGGCCATCAAAGAATTTACTTATTGAATTTCAAAGTCACTAAAAATTTTACCATGTGTAGAGAACAAAAGAAAATAATCTTTACTTTTATTTGTGAGACAACTAAAAACAAATAAAAGGTTCGCTTCCAACGATGAATTGTAACGAATTAGTATTTAGCAAGTAATAAAAAAAAGAATCTTCCCATCGCCCTTTTGTTATCTACGCACGTGGTGTTTTATATTAGTGAACTAGAAACATTTTATAATAATATCAATAAATTTAAACAAAACATCGATTTACGACAAATGTAGTCCGCACTCGTATCGTACACACAAGTATAAAAATAAAAGCAGGCCATGCCTTTTGCAATAAGGCGTATTTAAAAAATTTGAATCAACTTCTATACATTTAATTAAAATCAAATAAAAATTACCTTAGCGTAACAACTTTAACAGTATTTTAATAATTACTCAAAATGTAAACCATTCCTCTCCAAGTAGATTCTTGCACGTTTTTGAATATTGTCTTGTATTTTATTCAGCACTGTAGTGTCACTTTTCACTTGTGCAAATGCACTTTCAATTTTTAGTTTCAATTCGTCGAGGCTTTGGGCCTCCTCCACATACACGCGGCGTTTAATTTCGCCCCACAAAAAAAAGTCACAGGGTGTGAGGTCTGGTGACCTGGGTGGCCATGGAACGGGACTCCCGCGGCCGATCCAGCGATTCCCGTATTCCATATTTAAATAATTCCTCACGTCGATAGCGTAATGTGGCGGTGCACCGTCATGCTGATAATAAAAAGCAGGATGGTTAATAAGGGCTAGCGGTACGTCGTCCATCAAATCAGAGACTATGCTTTGTAGCATATTGAGATAGGTGCCTCCGGTCAGCCGCCCCTCAATAAAATACGGCCCTAGAATTTTATCACCGACAATCCCGGCCCACACATTTGCACTAAAACGCACTTGGTGATAATTGTCTTTTATCATGTGCGGGTTGCGATACGACCACCAATGTTCATTATGTTGGTTGTACAGCCCCACACGTGTGAATAGGGCTTCATCAGTCCATAAAATGACCGCATCGGGGTGTGCGATCAGCCACTCGCAGAAAACTCGACGAGGCAGCGCGTCTGCTTCATTTAGCGTTTGCACTTTTTGAAAGTGATAAGGGTGCAATCCAGAGGTGTTGAGCAGCTTCCACACAGCGTATTGGCTAACGTTGAACCGTCGAGCTGCATCACGTGTACTTCGTCTTGGATCTCTCTCGAAAAAATCGAAGATTTCGTCTTCGATTTCCACGGACAGTCGCGGCCTACCACGTCCTTGGGCGTGTGAAGGCGTCGTAAACTGACCATGGTCTAAAAGCCTCTGTATGACATGCAGAAACGTTTGGCGGTTGGGGACTGTAGGACTTGCTATTCCATAATTGCGAAGGCGAGGAATGCTCTCTGACTCGTATAGTCTCTGGGCTCCGTTTAGGCTTTCATCACTTATAAAATAGCACTTGACCATTTCAAAGTACTCGCGGTTTGTATACATAGTGACACGTGAATGCGTTTTCAATAGCGACATAGCGTTGCACACACGTACGAAGCGCTACACGGACGTGTGACGACTGAAGTGACAGCCGCCAATAGCGTACGGCGCGGGCGGTGGCGGTGGCGGCGTTTTGCTTTGATTGGCGTATGGTTGGAGAATCCGCGCGGTTAGCGTATGGCATTCATTCATAGACGCATAGTCGTAGTAAATAATAATAGTGTAAATTGGTAACCAATTTTTGTCAAGTGTAATACTCGACAAATATTTCTATATATATTCGGATATATATATATTCGGAATAAATATTTTCATTTTGAAAATAGACCTATCAATTTTTTTTCGAAAATGGAGTTTCTGAATGATACCTAGCGGCTGGAAAAAATTTGGACGATGACTAAAAAATCATCCTATATATATATATATATATAAACATA